CGTAAACCTGCCAGGGGGAACAAAGCATCATTGATTGGTAACGAATAATAGTTGACGTTTCTAAACAGCTCTGCTTTCAAGCTGCTTAGCTTTGAAGTGTTGACGGGGAGAAAGGGTTGTTATCATGTCACAGAGAGCATTAGGTGTAAGTTGTGCTAAAGTTATAAAAAAACCACACACGCACATGCGCACACAGGGTAGAAAGGGGGTGCATTTTAAGTGTATATATATATATATATATATATATATATATATATATATATATATATATATATATCATCCGCATGTACCATGCCAGGCTGCACAGGTGCTCATATATCTCCGTAGACCCTGGTTCTTAATAGTGTGGATCCATTACGCTGATGCTATTCCTTCACGCTATTGCTTCACTCCTTTAAGCTTTACCTCTCTTGGTCTGCCTCTGCATCTTCTATCGTGGGTCTTTCCAGTCATTACAATGTTTTCCAATGCCTATCTTCTCATAACATGACCCAGTAACACTGACTGCCTCTTTCTTACTGTTAAATATCATCGTTACCATTATCATACCGTAACACTGCGTATCGTTGGGTCACCAGTTGCTGTTGACTGACTGATAAGCTTATTCACCTTTGGCGCTCAGATGCGAAGGACTTCATGGTTGCATGCATAAGGCCTGTCCAGTCAGTCAAGTTCTGTCTCCAAATCTTTCTTCGTCTGCCTATTTCCCTCTTCCCCTAAATTTTTTTTTTTTTGAAGAGGCCGTTAGATCTTATTACATGTCCGTACCATTGCATTTTACGCTTTTTCACTGTAGTTAAAAGAGGTTCATAGTTGCAAATGTGCTGAGTAATTATAAGGCGAACCTCGTCATTTATCGTGTGGTCTATTGTTAAAAATAGTTTTCTAATTTCATTAGCCACTTTCCCGACAGTCGTTGTTAGTTAATCTGGCCGTTTTATATGCCAGTGGCGTTAACAGAATAGTCATCCCCCTGTGGGATGCTATTTTTCGTTATTTTTTTTAAAAGCCCCTCCCTGGCTCTTGCCGGGGGCCGCAATATAGCCCGGCCATAAATATGGTCTAATGGCTGAACGCGGTTTCCGGGACCTCTCCACGTGTGATCCTCATCCACATGGTGGCACTTTGTGTTATCGGGTGTTTTTCGCTTGTGTGATGTCCTATTGGGGTAAAATCTACTACTACTACCAGTGGCGCATCAAGTAAATAAAACGTGAGTTATATTTGTATAAACAAGTCGGCACTTAATGGGCGACGAGGTCACCATTGTATAGGGCATCTGTACATTCCATTACATTACCTGTTATATCCATTTCTGGCTAGGCCAATCATGTTATTGCAGTTCCAACATTATAGCCCATGGGTCACGCCATAGGCACCTGTTTCAGTGCCAAGGAAAACCGCACATAATATCCATCACTGTTCCTTGTGAACAAATTTATACAGACTGCAGTATCAGCAAAACAAACATCATGCACGCGCATTAAATGCATACGACAGTCGTCAGAAGTGCCAACACAAACAGTACGACACTAAAAATGCAATTATCATCAATGGAAGTAGCAGTTACAACATATCAGTTAAACACAATGAACGTATAAAGGACCAGCAGTTCCCTGGCACTCGCCGGTTTCTGAATCATGCTGGACACAGCCAATAAGCATTCCAAATGGAAGCCACAGCTTACAGTGTCACACCATACACTCAGCTCAGTAGTTAGTCGTCGGAACTACAAGGCTAGGTACATTTGGGAGCCAAGGCAGTTTTGACAGAAAAACTCGCCCCGTTGCGGATTAGAGACAATAAACATAGACAGTAATATGCTATATAGACATAGGCAGTACTATTCCATATCTTACAATCAAACAAATCGCTGGTCATATATATGTTCTTGCTGTTCCCTTGCTATGCAAGAAAGCCTAAGGAGTCACTATACCCCCCCCCCCCAGTTTTTCATTTTATTTTACAGTGGTAGACCAATTATTTTATAATGGCCATTTGTAGGAATGTATGGTAATACATTTGCATACTTTGAGTTTTAAAAAATCATGGTTGCCACGGCAATAGCCGCCATCTTGGGGGGGGGGGGGGTGGAATATGTACTTAGAATCCTAAAATTTCAAAACCAAACATAGGTATTGAGAAGTAAATGATGGATTCATGAATTGTAATCCTATTTTGATTTACTGGTGTAGTTTATTTACTTGAAAAATGTTTTAAAATTTTATTTTTATTTCAGAATTTTAAAATCTAGGTTTGTTGAAAAGGTTAAAAAAAATTTTAGCATATAAGACAAAAATGAAATTTACAAAAACACAAACTTTATAAAATCTATATTCAAATAGACCTGTCCTTATAATATTGTTTAAGAAGTATTCACACCAAATTTCACGTTTCTAGTCTTTATATTAGCTTAAATTGTAGGATTTTACACACACAACAAACAGAAATATGGAATTGTAAGAAAACTGACTTTTAAACTTTTTTGTTATCTTAACAAAAGTTTATGGGTTGGTGCCTTTAGTATTAACTTTTCAATGCTAAATTGTTTCCAAATGACATAAATCTGGTGTGTAATCTCTTCTAGCAATGCACAGATTGAACAGCCTCAAAAGTCTATGGTTAAGCACAAGCAAGGAGATAAAAATTAGAATTTTGAGAGCATGCATCTTCCCTGTGGATACATACGGATGTGAGTCGTGGACTATCTCTCAGTCCTTAAAGAAAGAGAATAGGGGCTTATGAGCTGAAATGCTTTATAGAAAGATTCTCAGAATATCTTGGACAAAGAAGATGAGAAATATTGACAATTTGAAAGATCTTAACATCAAGGAAGATTGGCTAATAAACAGCGTCCTTTCTCGAAAGCTGAAATATTTTTGTCATATCAAGCGCCACGACGGATTGGAAAAAATTATAGCAGAGGGCATGGTACCAGGAAGGAGGGGCAGGGGCCGACCGACACGAAGATGGGCACAGGATATAAGTGACTCCTTGAGTGTGAAAGTGCGTGAGACGGGAGAACTGGCGAGAGACCGAGTTTCTTTCAGGCAGTCTGTGATGAGAGCGACGTTCTGCAAAGGAAAGCTTCATGATGATGAATCTCTTCTACGAATGTCGAACTTTACAAAAACGAGCACATTGAAAAAGTAAAATTTTGTTATAACTCGAAAAATATGCTGTGTAGTGACCCCTAAGAATATTATTATAATATATATAAAATATACAAAATATAATAATATAATATAATATAATAATATTATCTCGTTGTCATTGGTCTCATGGCATTTTCTACCAGCTGACACTTTGAGTCTGCTCGTGATTTTTCTTGATATTTCTGAAGAAGGTAGTCTGTAATTGCTTTCTTTCTTCGCGGTGATTGAGCTTATCAGGTGACCACTATCGTTCAGTTAGAGTACGATGCTCTGTTCACCCATCCCCCCACCCTTCCCGCACCCCCACACCACCCTTGGGGAACTTGCGACCATAAGAACAAAAACTAATTCTCGGCTACTTTTTCAAGCCCTATCTACTGTGTAGGGGCTTTTGAGCTGAAGTGCTATAGAAAGATTATCAGAATATCTTGACAAATAATAGGAGAAATACTGACATCTTGAAAGATCTGAACATCAAGGAAGATTGGCTAATAAACAGCATCCTGTCTCGGAAGCTGAAATATTTTGCGCGCTACGACGGATGGGGAAAAAAAAATAGCAGAAGGCATGGTGCCAGGAAGGAGGGCAGGGGTCGATCAATACGAAGATTGGCACAGGATTAAGTGAATCCATGAAAATGAAAGTACATGAAGCGGGAGAGCTGGCGAGAGACCGAGTTTCTTTCAGGTAGACCGCGATGAGAGCGACGTTCTGCAAATAGCCTGCTACATAATGATGATGATCTACTGTGTGCTCTTGTGGATACAGGTTACACTAATAGCGGGGACATTGCATCTTGCCCATGGTGCCCAGTAAGCTAGAGGACGAAAGGAAACGACCTACTACCCATAAATATTTTAGAAAATGCGGGGCTTAATCCAGATTTCTGCAGAATATTCAGGAAACTGGGCAGCCGATTCTCTAGCAGCCCATCAGGCTGTTTGTTTTTATTGGAATCACGCGCAAGGGATTTAATTCTGCCTTCATCTGAGTGCTTCGTGTATCGACTGCACTCCATCATGCCGGAGAAACATGTTTTCAGTCTTTGATCAATACAAGTAGATAAATAGATGACATTGACCGATTTTTCGGCTGAGGGGTTAGAGCGCTATTGCTTTTTTATCAGCAACTAGGGTACCACCAAAATCTAGATTACTTCTGTCTTGTATGTCTAGCACTGAGTGGTTTCATTTCGTTGTTTCAATACTGTGTTTTAGCGATTTCTGAGATGATGTGTCAGTAAACAAAAACCCAAATGAACGTGACATTATTAAATTCATCCCCACTGGGAATGTTCTTCACTTAAAAGTAGTGTAGGGGGGTCTCTGGAGAAAGTTGAATGTCTTCATTCACTTTAATCATTATAAGATACACAGCGATGTTTTGAGATGTTGTGTAAACAGCATCTTGTTTATGCGATTGAATCCATAATCTATTTCCTTCTCCTCCAATCACTGACATCAATTCCTTTTTCTATTTTATCTCTCTCTCCCCCCCCTCTCTCTCTCTCTCTCTCTCTCTCTCTCTCTCTCTCTCTCTCTCTCTCTCTCTCTCTCGCTCTCTCGCTAGCTCGTTAAATTGTTTTTAAAAGCATGCAGTTATATGTGTATACTACGTAATATTTATTGCGATTGTGTATGTGTGAAGTTAATTTTTATCTGGTGTTACGGAACGAGGCACAGTAGAGGCACCCTTTTATATGCATACATTTTCAGCGCTACTGTAACAGACACTGTGTGGTGAGTACCATCACCTTTTAGAGACTTTGCGGCGAGTACCGGTACCTTTTTTGTAGGGGAAAAAAAAATCCCCGAATACATAAATCAAATATGTCTATCCCCTCAGTTTCGCAACCAAGGCCGCGGAGAACTGCTTGTATCTCTGTGCTACCAGCCTGCAGCCAACAGACTTGGCGTGGTCGTCCTCAAGGCTAGAAATCTGCCAAAGATGGACATAACAGGACTTTCAGGTCAGTTGTTTCTTTTGTTGTTTTTCCCTATACAACAGCAGCCACGAGGCAAAGTGGACTCTATCATGAATTCACTGAACACAAACTATGACCATAAAGCTCAATGGGAAAAGGGGCGAGGAGGAGAAAGAAGAGAGCCAAAAAATGACAAACATCCATACAAATTTAATTTTTCCGCCCAAGCCATTGTCAACGACTAGTACAACGAGGAAAAAAACAGGAGGGGGGAAGGGGGATCCTTGGCACCAGTAGTGGATTATTATTAGGTAGATTGGTAGGTGCTTTGGTGAGGGGAGGGATCATTACGTTTAACCAGCGTCCCCGAAGTGGGAGGTTATAACTTTAACTAGGTTATTTCCGTTGTATAAAATGGCTTAGCATTGCACGCAATCAAGAGCCCTTAAAATCACTCTTGCAATGTCAATGCGATCAAAGGAGACAGACCCAAAATGCTGTCCCGACCGGCGGCGATGATCGTCTACTGGCCAGTCAATTGGTGACCCGGTCGCTGATGTGGGATTGTTATGCTTTCCTTTCAAGAGGGCTGCCAGCACTTCGGTTTTCCCCAAGATCTGGGTTTTGATTTGACCCCTTGGGTTCATGTTTTGGAATATTAGTGGGGTTTTTTTAAATATATCCCTATAAGTGGGTAAATGTTTCGTTTCTTAACTTTTTTTTTTTTTTTGCTGCTAATGAATTGCTTGGGTTTTTTAGTCAGCTTAGCTTGGGTTTTAATATAAATTTCATTGGCAGCCCTGAGTGGTCTACATTCTGCACATCCTTTTCCGCACAGGACTGCATGACATCTGGCTGGTGAAGCTGTTACGAGTGCCCGACTTATAACGTCTTTGGCTGCTGAATGGTGTATCTGGAAATGTCCTGTTGGCCTGCTACCAACAATGAAACTGTTTAGTCTTAGGTTGTAATACTTTTAGCCCCTGTCTGCCATCCAGACTAAGGTGTTCTGATCTCTGTATGTCAAACGTTTTAGGAAGAGGATAAACAGCACGCTAGATCTGCAACATAGTTAAAGTAAGGTGCTTATCATTTACAGGACGTTGCAGTACTTACCCCAGCATTTTTTGGCTGTTGCGGTTTTTCTAGGCAAATTTTACGTTCAGTAGTTTGTCATTGCTCACCTCTCGTTACCACTGTTGAAACCAGCGCAAGACAAACCGCCCACAGCTGGGATCGAACCTGGCACCACAGCATTACGAAGCAAATTCGCAACGCCCAAGCCTCAGACGCCGACCTACAACATAGGCAGGATTCTTTGTGTCTACTAGTACGGCTCGGGGGCAGGGCTGCCAAATTGTTTCGCGAATAGTCATCATCATCGTCAGTTTCAATTCGGTAGATAAGCATTGTGGAGAGGAAAAGTTTGCAATCCATGGGCAGCAATGGTACAGGTCATTCCGTGTCGATGTAGAAGCTCTTTAGTATCATCAAACAATCTTCTCCTATGATGGCCTCTTGCCTTCGCTTTAGATCTTTTCATGTGTGTAGAGCCTGCGATGATAGTTTTCTGGCTGCATTCTTACTAAATGACCAAACCATTTGATCTTCTGTTTCTCATTGAATTTAGTGCATGGTGTTGTTCCTACAGTCTGTCTGATAATATCATTTCTAACTTTGTCTAGGATGGTTAAGCTGGCAGCTTCTCTCAGACATCTGATTTCGCAGGTGTTAATTTTATGTAGGCTAGCCTTTGATCATGTCCAAGTCTGGGACTGATAGTAGAGTGTTGGTATGAATATGCTGTTTATAACCTTTTTTTTTTTTGGGGGGGGGGGGGGCGCTCATACTAAACTTATGTTTGGATGTCTTAATAACGGTGTCTGTTGGTATATAAATGCAATGGCTCAAAGGGATATTGTTTTTATTTTCCGATCTATTCTCCGGTGCTCCGAGAATATGCTCCTAGATATTTAAATTGTTTAACTTACCTCAGGCAAGTACTATTCAACTTGATATGTAGCGGACCAGGAATTCTGCATTACTTCAGTTGTGGTAGTATTTGTTTTCATGTTATATCGTCTGCATGTGGAACTTATGTTCACATGTTCTTGCAGTCTACTCTCTTCATTGTAGAAGAGGCACTGCTCGTCTGAAAAAAGTGGCGAAAAGTACCAAAAAAGGTACCAAAACACACCCAAAGGTACCAAATTTTTAATTTTTAAATAAAACACAGCTAAAATGGTTAAAAAAAAAAAGACACACATATATAACTGGCTTACCTTATATTTTATTAGAAATGAAATGGTTTGTTTGTGACATCATTGCCGTACCATTTGCATTTTCGCTGCTTGTTACATAGCTGCTGTTGTGACTTCCAATTGATGCAGGTAATGTCCTAGAGCAATAATTATGATCTTGTCAATGCATTTATTGTTAATGTTTTCAAAGAAAAGTGATTTTTAACAAATATATTAATACTATTAAGGAGAGAGAAAACTAAAACATACCAAAACATCAAGCGTGGTACCAAAAGTACAGTTTTGCTCGAAAATAGTCAAACAGTACCAAATTTGTACAAAAGCACCAACTTCAGCAGCCCTGCTCCAGAGTCGCACAACCTAATAAAAATTGGTACTAGCAATTTTCAGAGAATTTCTGGAAAGGAACAAAGACAGTAACAAATGAAACTGGACATCCCATCTTATACGATGTGCATTTAAATATGTGAAGGCCTCGCACTGCACTAGCACTTAATTAACATTCTTTAAAAAAAAACACATATTGGTTAGTTGTATGCAGGATGTTGGTCTCTCACCTCTCAGGTAGAGGCACTCCAACAAAAGTCTTATCTTCTCCTTGGGTATCATCTAGCTTTTTTGTGCAAGGCCTGTGCGTGGTAGATATTGCAGTTGCATTCTAATGACCTAATAAACGTTCTACTACTACTACTTCTGCTGCTGCTGCTGCTACTACCACTACTACTGCTGCTGCTGCTGCTTCTACTACTACTACTACTACAACTACTACTGTTGCTTCTTCTCCTACTATTTCTGCTACTACTATTACTGCTACTGCTGCTACTCTACTACTATTAGCCTCCATTATCTGAACTGTGCCCTTATGTGCCGGTTTAACAAAAGATTGGTAGTCGAGCCAGTGCACACTTGAGTGCTTGATTTGCTTGTCTGCTTGTCAATAAATTTGGTGCAAGGTGTTGTTTCTATAATATGTCTGAAACATAACTTCTGACTCTGTGTCTCAGCATTAAAACTTTACATTTTAAATAACTCTACATCCATTTCATCTCTGTAGATCCCTACGTGAAGATCTACCTTCTGTACAATGGCCAGAGGATTGCCAAAAAGAAGACTCATGTCAAGAAAAGAACCCTGAATCCAGTTTTCAATGAGTCTTTTCTGTTTGATGTACCCTACAATGAGGGACTCCAGGTATGTTTTCTTTGTATCTCGATAATGAAGCAATGAAGCAGGTAATGTGTTTGTTGGCTACTCTGTATTCACACACACATTTCTTAACATGGATGTCACCTGGTAAAAAAAATCTAGGATATGATACCTCAGTATCCAGTTCGAGAATGAAGGTGGAGCAGTCACACAGAGTTTTGCTGGCTTGACAACTAGCAGTACATACATGATGTGGCTGTAACAGGCTCACAAAGCGTGTCAAGAAAGGTGGAGAAAGGCATGCTCCATTCAGAAGGACAAGCATCGCTCCAGAGTTACCCAACAGTTAGTGTCCTTGGGAATATTTTCTTAAGGAAATACAGGTGTGTAGGGAAATTAACAGTCACCCAGTTTGGCTGGTGATGCACCACTTAATGCATGACAAGATGATGTGATCAAGGCCCTTTGGGAGCAAGTGAATACTGTGGAAGCATGAATAGATCATTAAGGTGTGGGAAGAATGGTGAGTCAGGAGTGACCAGGGGATCTGGTTGATACTCTACACACAGAGGAAAAGCAAGACAGGCATATAATTGGGCTGCTACCGATATCGTTGGAACTGGAACTCTTCGCTGGCTGCTGAATATAAGCATGCAGCACATAAGGGAATGTTCCATATGGTAGCAAAGCTAGATGCTCAATTAGTCAGCCAGAAGGTATTGGGTTAAAATGTGAATATTTTTTCATAACCGACTTGGCTTCCAGTCCTTAGCATGTGTCGAAACTTTACATTATTAAAATGAAATGTTCTTTTATTGTTCAGCAGAATCGCTTTTTTGTGGTTGATTTGAGCGTATAAATAAAAAAAATAAAAAAAATTGTGTGTGTTGGTGTGTGCGCATGTGTGTGTGTGTGTGTGTTTTTTTTAAACAGGTGTTTTATAAAAATTAAAAAAACACATACACACAAGCAAGCATGCAGTCAGACACACAGAGACATACACAGACTCAAACGCACACATACACATACATATATCCCACATAATTTATTCATAACGTACATAAATAAATTGTTTTCCAGAATATTTCCCTTGAACTACTTGTCCTGGACTGGGACCGCATGACCAAGAATGAAGTCGTGGGCCGTCTGGAGATCGGTTTAAAGTGTGATGGCCAGGGAGCTAGTCACTGGAATGAGGTCATCAACTGTCCCAGAAAACAAATAGCCGAATGGCACAAACTCCAGGACTAAACAGAGAAGACATTGGGCTGCCGGTTCTCCCAGGGAAATAGAACCCCCATACAGTGCTGTCAAATTTGCTTATATCACATACAATATTTCAAATGTCTGTTTTTGTGCTAATTAGAATAGATGTTGCAGACTTTAAGCCACATCATCAGCTTTTCAGCATTAACAGAACAGAACAGCTGAAAGACAATAGAAATGACCCTATTCTTACTCACCTAGGAAATCATGGTGTATTAGGGCAGTATCTGGTGTTATCATTAGGGTGATGTGATTGATTATAACTTCATAGGAAGTTGAACAAGTATCTTGATTTTGTCTTGGATTGAGATGCAACTCACTGGGAGGGGGGGGGGGGGGGGGGGGGGGGGGGCTGTAAAATGTTTGTGTGAAATTTTGAGGGGGAAAATTTATTAGTCAATTGAATAAAACTGCATGAAACAGAATTACTATGAGTGGGAGTATGCATTATATGATTGCAGTGTTATTTGCTGCTAACAGTAGCATTTTGATGCCTAAAAACTGCTATAAATTGTCACATAATAGGATCCAAAGAACAAAGGGCAATACTGTGACACGCCATTTTTGGTGAACCATCAAAAATATTTTGTCAGGGGTCTCAAATTATTTCAACCTCAAGTTGTGCATTCTTGGTTGTGTTTAAAATTGACAATAGAAAAAGCTTAGAAAAAAAATATTACTAGTGTTGCGACATGAAAGTAGGAAGCTTAAATGGTGCCACAAGTGTGGCTACAGTAAAATTTACATATACTGTATAAAATCTGATAAATTCTATAATAATACTTTGAAAAAAAGTGAAATACTTACATTTTAATGAAATTTTCATCCCCATTATCATCATCATACAACTGCCAGATATAAATAGAAGGATCACACAGTTTTCTCAGCCACACCTTGTTTTTTCCCATTAAAAGGAACTATTTTATATGAGCAAAATGTGTCACATCATATCTTTTTGTAAGCCATTATTAGTTTAATTTCTGCAACAAGTCAGCATTCTAAATGCAATGCCCTCGACATCAATAATCCTGCAAGCATTCCTTAGCCCTTTTAGTGTCATAACATTAAATGTAGCACATAAAAGGTACTACTGCAAGCTGAGGCAATATTAAGATAACCGAATACTTTTGCGGTACCCAGATTTCCATTGATGTGATCAGATGTAAAAGGAGGAAGGTGCATAATCCCATGTTTGAGACTCATGGGGAAGATTACAGATCATGCTTTTGATTCGAACTAAAGAGTTAATGATGAAGTCTTGTAAAATCAATTCAACTCAAAAATGAAAAGTGGTCAGATTTTTAGGACCAATGTTTCCAAACATTTTTCATAAAGAATTGTTGCCAAATAGTATATCTCATTGTCCTGATTGAAATTTGTTAAATGGTATGGTAAATGAGGAGATGTGGACTGCTACTGGCCTCCTGATATACATTTTCTGACAGAAGGATAGAAGAAGAAGATAACGTATAATAGCCATAAAGTTTAGGCAAACATAAAACTAAAAGACCCCTAGAGTTTAACAGACCATGAATTCCCCTGCATATTACATGCACCACCAACTGTGAGTTTAGCATTATGTGCATACAGGGGAGGCTTACATCTATCAAACAATAATTTTCTGATTCATTATTTGAAGTTCACTGTTAAAATAAAACAACATACAGTACATTATTTCCTGTTTCAAAATTATTTTAACCTCTAGTGGTACATTTGTGCATGTGTTTGAATTAGGAATACAAAAAGCACAGGAAAAAACATAACAAGTTTTGTTTGTGATATTTTACTGTGCATGTTTATATATAATAAAATGTATCTACAAGTAGATTAAATCCATGTTAGAAAATGTTTTTTATGCCTGACAACTGTTTTTTTATTTATTTTTTTTTAAATTTAATACCGTATTGTCAAATAATAAAGGTTAAAAAAAAAGTTGCTGTTTCCCTCCCAAAGCAACAAATATGTCCATGTCTATGAAAGCATCATAGAAACCATTACATAAATATCATTAACTAGCAAATACACGTTTTGCCCACTTAGAGAGAATGCCTTGTAATGACATTGCAAAGAAGGCAACTACCAAAAGAAGATTAGGATGTAGAGAATGATGCAGACCAAAAATAAATGTGGAAGATAACATCAGAGAAACTTTACAACAATTCAATATATCTAGAGTTTGTTGCACAGCAGAGTAAGAAGCAAAACTTAATATTTCCTCAACACCTGAAGCAGTTAAAAATAGACGGAAAAAGAAGAAGAACTATTTATTTAGCGAAAGCAAATATACTTGGAAAATATATAACTATAATGTATCTGGATAATATACTACTAAAACACATTGAAAGGCCACTTTCATTTTCAATTGCGGACCTTGGAAATCATGACCTGCATTATTCTCTGACACCGCCGGATTGCAATATAATGGTCACATAGAGTCTGAATTACAGCAGGGGAAACTCCTAATCTTCTAGCAACTTTTATAACAGCCCTGCATCATCCAGCAGCCATCTAGTGCTCTCCATCTGTAAGCACTGGTCAAGCATCTTCACTGAGCCATGGCTAAAATGGAAAATGTTCCAAACCATACCCAGTGCCCGTTCCTTCTGAAAAGTGAGGGAAGTATTTCACTATAGTCACAACTTGCACATGAAAAGTAAATTTCAGCAATGTTATCAGCTGGCTTTACCATAGTAAGCATTTTCAGATATGCATTGTATTCTTGTGAACAACACTTAGATTTGTTCACCTAAGAGGTATGCACCCATAATGCAAATTTGATTTATTTTCAGATTAACAAAATTGTTTAAGCATGCTATAAAATGCAGCAAATAAGCGTTCAGTTTAAAAATAAAAAGAAAAAGTTTATTTGAAATGACCTAAAAATTGAAAGTGGCCTTTTTGTTATTGTGTGTGTGGTTTTTTTTTTTTTTTTGGCAGTATATGATATCAGACGGTTATTGATGACAAAATTTAGAAAATATTACCAGGTAGTAAAGAAATGCGACATGTGTCAAGAAAGAACAGTAATGCAAGGCATGATTCATGGAAGGAGAGATAATGATCAAAGAAGCAGTGAATATAGAACAATTAACTTTTTCAGTCCCAGACAGTTTTGAACAAAAAGTTACATTAAAAATTTATTTTTATCAAATAACCTCAGAAAAATTACAAATAGGGGTGATAATGAGAAGGGAAATTGTAACTGGAGGGGTCAGATTTAGATAGTATGAGTAGAACAAATGTAAAAGTAAAATGCATGATTGCAGTGTTAGGGACACTCAAAGAAGAAGCAATCACACATCACATATTGGTTCAGAATGAAATAGTTAAAGATAAGCCAGGCATGAAAATGAATGTGCACGAACATTTGCAAAGGACTGCAAATTTCTCCAGGATATTGTGATGATGGTGACATTATGCAAAGGATGTGCTATATGATGATGAATTACAGAATGCAAACATACATGGAACACACAGTACTAAGTGGTTATGTCAAGTATATCTGTGGTTTAAAAATATAGCAGAAAATTGTTATGAAACATAAGCATACCTGTAAAACAGGCAGACCTACAAACACTTACAATCACCAACTGGAAAGAGAAGACCAAACACAATGTTGAATTGAGGTGAGTGATGCCTGCAGAAGTGAACCTCAAGGGCTCACCAAGTTGAAACAGGAAAAAATAAACAATAATGTTCTATTCTCTTATGATAGACAGATTCTGACGAAGAGAAGAACACTTGTTATTCTACTTCTACCTTCTAATCCCCTATGGATCACACATCCTCAATAAACTGACCTCAACCCCCTCTTGTCATGTATGGCTGGTTGGATTAACATTCAATTATTCACTAATGATGAAAAACTATCTTTTTCTGCCGTTATTATATCACTTTTTAGGCTGGTGTAGTGAAGGGGGGGGGGGTCTTCTTTAGCCTTACATTTCAGGCCATGTGGCTAGTTCTGTAGCCACAAATGTGCAGGTTAGGAATTAATTTTCACTCCTTATAGAAAAAAAATCTCACCAGATTACCAGGAATTCAAAGCTGGGTCTGCCAGTTAGAAGCCCAATAACTGTTGGCTGCATTCAATTAATCACAGATGAATACTGGAGATGTACATGATTATCATCATACTGATTTAAACTGTGGAAAGCATTAAATGTTTTAGATATCTTCCTCCAAGTTACTGAATTACTACCACTGAAAACTAATGTTCAACACTGAAAATTCATTAAACTGTTAAACAGAAATATGTCCTGTTATTTCTTTTATACTATTTCTGCTATTTTGTATTTGACAATGTTTAACTCTTTCAATCCCAAGGAACGCGTCATATGTTCATAGGTTCCCACCTAGAGGCCCAATGAACACATGATGCGCCGATTTTACATCTCTTTTGACTACCCCTTGGGCCTCTGATGCTAAACCCCCTGGGACTCAAAGAGTTAATACTGAATATTCTTTAATGGAACAGGTTAGCAATTAAGGTGTTTAACCAGACCCATATGGGCTCTAAGGTCCCACTTGGGTCTGGTGGGGCGAAGAAAGACCCACTTTTCCCCAACAAGCATGTCATAAAAGGACAACTGTTTCCTTCTAAGTCAGGGTGAATCTGACAGAGAGATGAGGAAGCATGAGTCTGCATACATATAAGCCAGATGTGTAAAATGATTTGCAGAAAAAAAAAAAAAGTTTTCTAGAACAAGACCTAAAGTCCAGAAGTGGACAAATAATCAAAACTGTCTGCTGGAGTCTACATGCTAAGAAGAAAAATAATAATAAGAAGAAGAAAAAGTGAAGAAGTAGTAGTAGAAGAAGAAAAAGGAGGACTATTTTCACTAGTTATAGATGTTTCTATCGTCTAGACATAATAAGATGTGTTTTACATAATAAAAGAGTACAAATAACAGCCCCTAGTATACAATACACATAAAATGAGCAGTAATTATTTAATGAATGTCTGAGCACTATTATACAGGTTT